CCACATCTTGTTTTAGGTTTTTAGATACCAAACATTTAATACGTTCCAGAATTTATACTTTCCGCCTATACATTTTCCGGAATTTTCGACCTTCCTAAATAATGTATCAAACCGTCGCGTCGTGGAGTGGTAGGTAAGCCAGTAACTTTACGGATTTATGTGGATCCATAATAATTATTTAAAAATATTAGTACATATTTATTCAGGTATTGTTATAAATTATAATACAATTTTGGACTTAAAGACTATTACATTATTAATAATTGTAAATTGTACTTTTGGTTATTATTTTCTACAATTTTTGTATTGTTTATATTTTTGATTAAAAAACTCTCTCAAATTAAAATAATTCTCTTGTTATTTTACTAGAATATTACGAATATACTTTAAAATCAAACTTACTTTTTAACTCTAATTAACTACATATATGCAATATATGCAGAAGTATAAATAAAATATAAATCCAAATAATTTGAGAGAATTAGGTGATGATTAGCTTCTGTTAAACACAATACGATTGTAAATTGATCACGTCTTAATAAAATAAAATGGTATTTAGCATAATATTAAGGGGGTTGCAGCGCACGTATTTTAGACCAATAAGCAGTGGTAAATTACACATACTTCGGAATGTCCGATTTAAATTTTTTACACATGTTTGAATTCATTGATAAAATATCTAGGCTTCTTAGGAAGTCGATTTTCAATTTTCAATTTTACTACTCACACATAGATACAGTATTAATTTATATGTCACATGAATTGCCTAAATAGTACTCCTTAAAATATGCTACGTTGCAGCCCCCTTAATTAAAAATTACTAATACCTGACAAAAATCACAATAATGGTCCTAAATTTACCAATTTAATTAACTTCAATCGCATATTATAGTCCTGATGGAGGAAAGTAACTTATTTACAATGTGTAGGTACTAAAAATTAATTTAATCTGTGAATAACATAAATAGGTTTCTAACATAAATTAAATGTTATCTGTGTACAACAAATATTAAATATAAATTATAATACCATATTGTTTTAGCTACGAACAAATAATATATTTAAACATTTAAATTAAATAAAAGTTAAAAACAATTTTTTCAGATGCAATTGCCAATTAGAAAGAACATCAAGTACAATAATATTTTGAAGAAAACAACATACACACAACTGCCTTGACACATGCGACCTTTCGCATTAAAAATTAATTTCAAATTCAAAACAACCTAATTAAATTGTGTTCATTTATATTAAAAATGAATCATCAAGAATGATATATTATTATAATTAAACTTACAGCTTATTGTTTAAATATAATATTTGATTTTTATATTTCCTTATACCTACTTGTGGAATTGTTTTCTGAATATTGGTAGTTAGTACCTATGCATTATTAAAATAACTAAAACATTCATGTGAGAGTTGCTTCCGCCGCGGTTGCCCGACTCGACGTGCAGCGATTCTCGGAAACGATAACGGATTACGCACACTAATGTTCATTTACTACTCCCACACGGACACATACTAGTTGCGGACGAATTAGTCAGGTTAGGAATTATAATATAACAATTGCGGACATGAGTTTCGTTGTCATAATACTCATTGCGTACAGAGCTTTTTTTTAATAAAAACTACGTTAGTTGTGGACACAAATATTTCCCTTCACCACCTTTTCAGGACTTATGACAATAGCTAAAAAAAAAAATTGGTAGGTGGGGTTAAAAATATTTGTGTCTTGCAAAAGAGCAATCGTTATTTTTAAAATGTTGTTGAAATATAGATTGTTTTAATTTTGTGTTAAAAATTGTTTCTAGAATATTTATAGATTATCGTCATTATTAATTAGGTATCGTCATAGTATTTAAAACAGCCTGTATATATATGATATTCTACTGATTTCACCACGTGAATATTGTAACATTATCCGCAATTACTATCTTATATTTGTGTCCGCAATTAGTATGTTACCTTTTTAGATTTCGTCCGCAACTCACATGGTTTTTGTCACTTTGTCCGCAATTCGGAAACACCGTCCCACACAGATACAGTATTAATTTATATGTCACATGAATTGCCTAAATAGTACTCCTTAAAATATGCTACGGTGCAGCTCCCTTAAATCTTAAATTATTTACTAATATAATTTTAACAATTTTTGTCATACGTTTAAGTAGAGTCGTTTTTAGATTCTGAGTGAAACGATGAATGTATTGATTTTACAATGATGTGTGTTTTTTTAAAATTTTTTTTTTGTGTCTGTGTACACGATATAAGTAGTCGAAATAATGCTTCGATTTTCAACTTCAGTATCTTGTTCGATTGGAAAGTGAATATCGTTGGTGCATTGGGGAGGTCAAAATTTAAATTTCCCAGTAGTTTTCAAAAGCGCCGGGAAAAACAAAAGAAAAATTAAGGAAAAACAGGAATTTTTACGCAAAATCTGTTTTCGAAAAAATCGATTTTGGTTTTTGGTGTAACTTTAAAACAAATGACCGTAGATATATGAAATTTTCAGTGGTTGTTTATATTTGCATTTTCTATACACGATAACATTTTCAAAATATTTTGATTTATTTTGAACTGTTTAGGGACATTTTCATTTTCCATTTTTTTTTTAGTTTTTTTTCTAAAAATATCAATAAAATTTTATTTGTTGGTTGCGAAAACTTGAAAATTTAATACAAGGCTCCTGATATATTGTTACAATATCAGTTGAAAAATATGAAAAATAAATAGCCACAATTTTTTTTTTAAGCATTTAAACATCGAATTTTGACAGAATTTTTTAAAATCTCGAAAATTATTAATCATCGTAATTAATAAATTATAAAATTTTCAGTTTTTATAGCTAAGGATTGAAAATTTAAAACAAGATGCCACGTAAGTAGTTAATTCTCTTACCGAAAAATCTACAAAATATACAATTACAGTATATTTTTATAGTCATTTTATGTTCAATTTTAACGAAATTACATATTAAATAACCTAGTTATTTTGTTGTGATTATATAATATTATTCGTGGGTACCTACTTCAAACTTCTAAAGTGTACTATTATATATCTATGATAGTATCAGGGTTTGTTATTGATGTTGATGTTAAACGTGTTATAAGTACGTAATGGATATTGTGATAATGTGATATGATTAATTTGGAATTTATTATAGCTCAATTTTTTTTTTAATACCATAGATATGTATATAATTTGTCTTAAACCTAGACTGACATACCGTCTTCGCTCAGAATCGTTTTTCTTATACAATGATATTGTATCATTGAATTCAAATTTAATAGCATCCATTATACAGTGACCCACTTGTAACCTACTGTACAGCAGAGCGACATCCACTTACCCGGCTTTTTTTTCGTTAAGTCTTTCTGTTACACCTTGCATAGGTACCTACTAATATTTATTCGTCATATTTTTTTAATAAAATATAAAAAAGTGGTTTTCAATTTTTAATAAATTAAAATTAACTATTGTATTAATTTTTATATAATGTACCTAATACACTATAAGTATTCAATGTTAAATTGTCATAAAACATTTTTGCTCAAAAAAGTCATAAATTCCTCATATAGTTATAATTTAATTTAAATGTCCAGAATATTCAGAGCTTAGTTTCTTTATTGAAATTACGCCTATGTTAAAGATACACCATATAGTAGCCATTAATTTTTTATAAGCATTTTAAGTTCAAATGTTGATAAAACTCATCAAAATCTCAAAATTATGTAAACTTTTTATACTTCAAGAATGTTAAAATTTTTAATTTAACTAAACCTACCTGTATAATATGTACTATAATACTTGTACTAAATTTATTTATTTTATTTTATTTATTTATTTCAGCAAAATCAATATCATTATTTCAATACAATAATACAATAGTCAAATTACAAAAGTTAAATTACTACAAATTACAGCAAGCTCGTTTCTGGTATACGGAGTTCCTACACATATTACTTATATAATATAATAAATTGTGTCTTATACAATTGAGAATGATGTATTTTACTTCTCTAAATAACATTATCTTATAATTATATAACTAAACAATACTAATAAATAATCATTTATAGTTACACATAGATACTTTTTAATAATTGATTTTTACACACATTCTCATCTAGGTCATTTACTATTTTAGTAATTATATTTTTTATACGATTTTTGTTAATTATATTTTTTACATTGGTTTTATTAGACTGATTTTCACATTCATACTTTATTAGACCCTTTTAGTTATTTAATTTGTCAGGTTTTTCTGTTACATTCTATATAATATATTATGCGTTATACCTAACTTATAAAGTATGATGTGATTAAATACTATTTTTACAATAAATTGTAATATATTATTATTAAATTTAAAATGTAATTAATTAATTCAACAAAAAAAGCAAAAGATAATTTGATTAATTTCAATACAACGCTTGGGAAATATACGAGTATTTATATTATATTGACACAATAATAACCGATAGGTAACTAGTAAGCCACGATTCCTAGATTATGTTTAATACGTTTAGAGTATTCTATTTATAAATAAATAAATCAAGAGTTTGAAAATGAATAACAATTTTGTAAACTGAAAAGAAAATGTTAAATTCTTCTGATATACTCTGCAGTATTATGTATGCGTAAATATAGTAAGGAAGTTACGCGCCCACCGTCGGTTTCAGGTAATCGACGTGCTTTCTAAATGGTGTAAGGGCTACGGTGGGATGCGGCTTGCACCGGGACGCCGAATGTCTGCTGATTGGTGACCACTACGATACCCGCTGGTCGGCCGCTTACTGCTTCGTGATGTCGCTCCGGTGCATGGCTATTGCTACACCAGATGGATGGCCACTGGGTGGTGGAATTCTTGTAGGTACAGTCACACCTTGACAACAGGCAGGACACTCCGCCGTATGGTGCGTACTGGCGTACTCCGTCTACGTGGCCGCGTTCTTGCTGGACCGGCTGGGCTTGTGGTCTATGGGACACAGTCAAGATCACCGGTCCGTTCTTGAGGCGGCCGTCGCCGTGCTAGATATCAACGCGTTTGAAAACAAGTTTAGGGCCGTGCATGCAGTATGGCCCACTGTTGTACGTTGAACACCAAATACGTGTTCGTCGGTGACGAGACCGACAGTCAGCCGGCCATCCGTGTGGTGGCCTCGGTGCTCGTAGGACGTGGATGCCCCATCACGGCCACGTACACGCAGACGCTGCGGCGCACGCGTGACCGATGCCGACACCTGCCGCCCTAAAAATGCTTCGAATGCGCGTGTGGAACTGGGTATACGCATCACATGGTCTCGGTGGCCTGCGGTGGTGTCGTCGGTTGGCCAGTGTATGGGTAGTCGGGCTGTGGCTGTGGACCACTTTTGGATGACTCGCCCCCGACGTCGAAAGAGCCCACGCGCTGCAGGCCGTCGGAGCACTTTCCAAGACCCTCGACTGCTTATGAGCCGATTTTGAACAGTTCCTGGAACGGGTCCACGACGGAACGATGATGCCGCTACATGCTGACCACTACGTCACGGTGGGCGTCAAGTAGGCACTGGCCAAACTGTACGCTGACCGGATTTTGGGTAAAAAAATCTAACTTCAAACGTTCATAAAAAAGTAGTTATTTTAACTCGTTTTAAAGTTAGTTATAACTATACAGTTTTATTTTACTTTTTAGGTACTCGTATATAATATGCATTTGTTAAGATATTCCCACATATGATAATATACTATACTTATCTATATATGTCGAGCTCGGCTCTTAACAAAAATAAAATATAATAATCAAAGTTAAGTGTGCCTTTACGACAAGGCGTTAGTTAAATATAAATATCAAACTAACGACCTTCTTTGAATAAAAAAAGGAATTAAAATAGATAACCTGAGTGCTAATATGGTAAATAATTTATTTTATTATAATTCTTAGTGATGGTATTTACTTTGGTTTAGTATAATATAACAATGCTTGTTTAGCATTACATAAATAATAATAACAAGTGTGAGATGACTACTTGGCACCCACTATAGGTGAATAAAATACAATAGCAAATGCTCATAATATATTGAAGTGCTTGATTAGCATATAAAAAATAATAATAATAATTTGAGACAGCTCGTCGGCAGGTTACCTGGGGAATTGGTGTCCGTTAGCGGCTTCGAACCAAACGCTACCGTCTCAAGATGCACACATTTGTACAATAAAAATACAATATTATAATAATTAAATGTGTGGCAATCCCTGGAACGTACGACTAACGGACCACAAACTCAAACGAATAAATCACTGAAAACATGTAATGGACAATGACGAAAAATTAACGTGCTTCTGTAAGTATCTTAATTCATCAATTGAGAACGGCTGGGCTGATTAGGCTGATTCTTTTTTTGTGTTTGTAATTGCAGAAGAACGTTTTTACGAAAGAAAATGTTAGGAAAATCCACCGGAAAAGTAGAACATTTGAATGTAAAAAATACAACAGTGGTGCCATCTGTCCAGAAAAAATAAACTTAATAATAAAATAATAAAAGTGTATTCAATTGGTTGCTACTGGTTAATCGGGCATGTTTGTTGATTGTTGATTTGTATTATTTTTTGTCAATATATATATATATGTATAAATGAATATCTGTACATTAGATCTCCGAGAAGAAGATGGGCTTATTTAAAAATTCGGTTCAGTTGAATTTGGTTTTTTTCATAGGATTTTAGTATGGTCAAATTGTATAGTTTGCCTCAGGTTTGAAAAATGTTCAGCACTACGCTACTATATAGTATAAATACAAAAATTAAAGTAAAAATTTCAAAAGAAACCTACCATATAAATGTTATTGTAATGTGTATTACGTCAAAAAATCATAATAATAAACGTATATTATACGTACAAAAAAAAAGGCAAGCCACGTAAAATATACATAACTTCGATAAAACATTGTAAATATAAATATATATATAAGATTTATCAAATTTCTTGTTGATGTTCCTGTTCAGTTATTCATGTATGCCTTAATACCTCAACATTAAAACATGTCACATAATAAATTAGAGTTAAATCATTTATTAATTTAAAATATACCTAATATTAATAGAAACTCAAAATGTATTTTTTAATTGATCACTCAAACATTATTTCAAACGCTCTGCCCTTACGACCTTTGTAGACCAGAGTCAAGTTCTTTACCAACCTCGAATTAAACTCGAGAATCTCATCGTTATTAAGTTAAATTGATTTAGGAAGGTACACATTAATAAGTTTATCGCCATCGTTATAAATATAAATAATATCATAGAAAAATTAGGACACAAATAAATGCATATTTTAAGGATTTTAATGGTATGAAGTCCCTAGCCTTAATTATTTGTAATCAATGACTATTACCATGGTTTACTGACTACAACATTACTAAAAGACATGTCGACAATATAAAGCATCATAAAACTGATCTATTAAGAAATAATAGAAACTTGGTGGGTACATAATATTATGTCTACGTACGCACATGTACACATAAAAACTGTGTTCAAAATTAATTTAATTGCAAATGTGTATTATACGTTAGGTACCTATCTAACTTACGTATAACTTAACTATACCTACCAACTATAAATTAATTAATCATACTAATGACTCATACACTTAAACATTTTGAAAAATGTTCGATGGGCCATGCTCATATTCATGTAATATTATAATATAGCATATAGCCTTATAACAATTGTGTACGTAAAAATTTATTTTGATAAAAATATAAACTTACTATGCATCGTATTATATTGACTAAAAATGAAGTAGTAAACATATTTCCGAGAAAACCTAGAAAAAAGAATAACGAGTACGCTCAACTTTCCAAAATTAATATAAGTCTATTTAATAGTAACAAGATGCAAATGTGTCCCTCTTTTGGTACTGTTTACATCAAATGTCTACCCTACAGCCGGAACAAAAGTATTTACTTCGTGTTCACTGACATGCGAATGGGTGTTGGAACATTTATAAGAATCTTAAGAATCTACGATTTTAAATCAATTATAGTCAATGACTACGGAAATGAAATAATACGATAGATGTTACGGCAATACAAAATAAATCGGAAATCAGGGAATTCAAATTTCGTCGCCAAAAGTGCGATAACAGATTACACACACTAACAGAGACGGATTTACACAATTGCCGCCCCTAGGCAAATTTTTTTTTTGCCGCCCCATTAAACTTATCAACGAGAAAACGTATTTTTAAATACTTATTTAACATAAGTACTAAAAAGGTGGGTAAGTGGATGTCGCTCTGCTGTACTGTAGGTTACAAGTGGGTCATTGTATAATGGATGGTATTAAATTTGAATTCAATGATATAATATCATTGTATAAGAAAAACGATTTTGAGTGGAGACGGTATGTCCTTCTAGGTATAAGACATATTATATACATAGCTATGGTATTAAAAAAAATTCACCTATAATGAATTCCAAATTAATCATATCACAATATCCATTAGGTACTTATAACGCGTTATACACCAACAACAAACCCTGATACTATCATAGATATATATAGTAGATTACTTTAGAAATTTCAAGTACCCACGAATAATATTATACAATCACAACAAAATAACTAAAATCGTAATTCTTGGTTTAAATATGAAATTTTGTCTAAATTTGAAATTAAAATGTCTGTAAAAAATAAGTGTGTTTATATATTTTTTAGATTTTTTGGTTACAGTATGAATTATTTAAGAGAATCTTTGTTTTAAATTTTCAACTCTTAGTTATAAAAACTGAACATTTTATAATTTTTTAATTCCAACGATTGATAATTTTTGAGATTTTGATAAATTTTGTCAAAATTCCAACTTTAAATGCTTTTAAAAAAAAATCGTGCCTATGTATTTTTAATATTTTTCAACTGATATTGTAACAATATATCAGGAGCCTTGTATTAAATTTTTACACTTTTTGGCCCAACAGATAAAACTTTATTGATATTTATAGAAAAAAAAACTAAAAAAAATTGAAAGGTGTAAATGTCCATAAACAGCTCAAAAAGAGTCAAAATATTTTCAAAGTTGTATGGTGTATAGAAAATGCTAATTTAAACATTCAGTGAAATTTTCATGTATCTACAGTTGTTCGTTTTTGAATTGCAACAAAATAAGGAAATCGCTACATGAGTAATCGAGTGAAAATCCAATGTTGTAAAAATTTGAATTTCAAACGCTCATAAAAATTTAATTTGACTGTCCGGTAGAGATTTTTTTATTGATAAAGGTAGATAATCTTATAAGGAATCTTGTGTTTCATTTTCAAATCTTAGATTTAAAAAGAAAAATTTTTACGAATTCTTAACTCAAAAGAATTTGCTAATTTTCGTGATTTTTCCATATTTTGTCAATTTTTGAACTTTAAATGCTTATAAAAAAAAAAAGTGACTAAGGATTTTTAATATTTTTCATCTGCCTTTGAAACAATATATTAGGAGCCTTCTATTAAATTTTCAAGCTTTCGCAACCAACAAATAAAATTTTATTGATATTTCAAGAAAAAAAACTAAAAAAAAATAAAAAATGAAAATGTCCCTAAACAGTTCAAAATAAATCAAAATATTTTGAAAATGTTATCGTGTATAGAAAATGCAAATATAAACAACCAGTGAAAATTTCATGTATCTACGGTCATTTGTTTTAAAGTTACACCAAAAACCAAATTCGATTTTTTGGAAAATCAATTTTGCGTCAAAATTCCCGTTTTTCCTTAATTTTTATGTTGTTTTTCCCGGCGCTTGTGAAAACTACTGGAAAATGTTTACTTTTGACCCCCCAAAGTACCAACTAGATTCACTTTCCTATCAGAAAAGGTACTATTGAAGAAAATCGAAGCACTTTTACTGTCCCAAAACGTGATGACAGACACAAAAAAAAATAAAAAAAATAAAAAAAAAAAATAAAAAAACACACATCATTGTAAAATCAATACATTCATCGTTTCACTCAGAATCTAAAAAATAAATCATAAAGACTGATACTAAACAATAATTAATGGCAGTTATGTTAATAAACTGTCTAATAAAATGTGTTTATAAAATATAGTGTTTACTTATCAGTAATTTAAGTAGTATACTAATAACCGAATATGAAGTCTATCCGCCTTGAATGTTGTGTTGAAAATAATCGAATGTCTAATCAGAATAAACCTATTTTTTACTCGGCCGCCCTCTATTTCATAGTCCCGAAGAAAAATAAACAATTATTACATAATTTTATCTTTTGGATAGAAATAGTTTTATTTTTGTACACATAATGCA